CAGGACTCAGGGCAGCTGCAGGAACGTCTGATTTAATTATTTAGTTTTAATCTTCTCACCTCTGATTTACCTTCAGTCACGTGAACTCATCACATATTTGATCTTTTTCTAATTATTTCGTTCGTCTCATCAATAAAATCATCCAAATCTGTTCCTCCAGAACCTCCTCAGAACATCTGGTTCTGTATCTACTGACCAGAGTTCTGCCTTCATGCTGTGAATGTTCCAGAGGTCCAGGTCCTTGAAGTCCACAGAGGAGGGTCCAGATTGATCACTTTAATGGACTTTTTCCATCATTTCTGAGCCTCAGAACTTCATCAGTCCAGCAGATAGACACATGACATTTAGGAGGAAGAACACATCTGGGTTCTGCTAGAACCTGACCTCAGATCAGTTCTACATCCATCCAGGTGTCTCCGTCTGAACACTGGACCTGGTTCCTGGTAGCATCAGTATTATGGGATGGATCGTAGTTTAGCAGGATCATGTTCTGGTATAATGATGTAGTTTACACGTTAAACCTCAGTGATGAAGTGTGTGTGTGTGTGTGTGTGTGTGTGTGTGTGTGTGTGTGTGTGTCCTCTGTGGGAATAATATGAATTTCACGGTGACTGGACGCTTTCAGAGACCTGACCTGTCCTAAAGTAGGCTAGTGGTGCACCGCCTGCAGCACCAGCACTCAGCGTGTGTGTGTGTGTGTGTGTGTGATGACTGACACACATCTGAAATGTTGGTCAGAACACAATCTCACATTTTTCGTTTCCTTCGTCTCTTTCTGTGATTCACACACAAACAACAACGACGACGATGATGATGATGATGATGTTGTTCATGATGATGATGATGATGATGATGATGATGATGATGACGATGATGACACAGTGGTGGATGTAACTAAGCCCATTTATTATTTAGATTGTATTGCGCGTTATATCTTCACTTTTTACTGTATTTTTATAACTTTAGTTTCTTTTAAAATGAAGATTCTGCAAAATCAACATGTTGAGGAATAAATAAGATCAGATAAAATCATCTGTCACTGATCCCAGTTCAGGTGATGTCATCATAACAGCACTGCTGTTGATGTTGTGCAGTTATTACTAACCCAGCGTTGCTCTATGTGTAGAAAAACAGCGACATTAATTAGACAATCCTGATTAAAAATAATGTGATGTTGCACAGATTGTTATTCATGTAGAGAAACAAACATGGTGCGGAGTAGTTTGATATTCAAATGACAAAAAACATTTTAAAAATATTCATTTATCAGTCAAAAGTCTAATTTTTATGCAGAAATGTTTTCAGCTTCTCACATGTGTAGATCTAGTGTGTGATTATAATTTATAATTATTTGTGTTTCAGTGTTTCGTGTACGACAGAATAAAACATGCTGACGTGTCATTTATCATTTGTGGGTGAATGTGAGAAACATTTCTCACTATTTTCTAATGTTTTCCAAACTAGAACTAAACACATTGGTTAAAATAAACCATCATGAAACGATCACAAAACAGTTTTGTTTTATTTATTGATCAGTCTGGAACCAATAATAACAGATACTAATATCAATAATAGTTAATTAATTAATGGAGCATTTTTCCAAACTATAAAACAGTAAAAAGAAGGAAACTGTTAAAAAGCCATAATAAATTAAATTAAATTAAAATAAATTAAATTAAAATAAAGTAAAAACGATTAAAATGCATCAGTTTCACCACCTCGTTAATTAAATTCTAATTGACTGATTTAAACCTTTTAAACGTTGTTTTTAGGTTGTGTTGACGTAACGTCGTGTCTAATTTAAAGTCAACTTTCTGTTTAATAACCTGCTTTAATTATTAAGAGATTTAAAAAATCCTCTGAAGCTTCAGGTTGAACCCAAAGCAGGAACATCAGAACAAATCCAGACGATGATGGTCGGTTGGGCTGAACCTCAGAACACATGATTCAACCTGAACAACGTCTGAGCTGCTGACTGGACCGAGCCTAAAGGTCAGACCGTCCACACAAACATGAATCTAAATGAAATGATCCAGAGTTGAACTTCAGCTGCATCAGCTTCAGGCCAGCAGGTGGAGATAAAGACCTGAAGATCATCTGAAACACACCAGGACCAGCTTCACCCGCAGCCGACCGAACCAGAACCAGAGCAGAGCCCAGTTCTGTCAGGATGGTGTCAGTGTTTCATGTATATCACATGTTACAGGTTTACATGTCGATGTTTGACTTTGTTGTCTGAAGTATTTTTTTACTTTCTCACATTTTAAAACCTTTTTTTTTTTTTGCATCCTGTAAAAATTTTTTACATAAAATATCACAAATGTTTCATGACCTCATGTTGAGTTTTTCGTATTTCTGTGAACAGATTTTGTGCCGACATTGAAAACACCTGCAAACTCCCACCAGAACCAGAACCAGAACCAGAACCCTCCGTCAGCCGAGCGGTCCTCCCTGGGACACGACGTCCCCACAACCACACCAAAGGCCCGCTCACACACTCTCTCAGTCGCCTGGTTCTGATCCTGCGACAGGAGTCCAGTCACCATCTGCGGCTCACCTGTCTGACTCCGGAGCATCTGGTGCCGCCGCCTCCCTCCGGAGGCCGACATGCAGCAGCTTCAGCTGCATCCAGACAAGGTTTACGGAACCGGAACGCAGGAAGAACCCGCTCAGCTCGGTCCGCTTTGCAAATGGGTTCTGATGCTGCAGAACCCTCCAGAAGTTCCTTCTGTCCAGAGGACCAAAGGCAGCTTCATGTGGTTTGAAATGTTTGTCTTCAGGGAGCGAACTGAGATCCGGACGAGTTGGAGACGAGTCAGCAGGAAGCTCCGTGTTTATATGAATAAACCGGGTCTGTGTGGACCAGAACCAGACTGGACAATAAAATACAAATAATAAGTTCGTTTTCTTTTTAAATTGAATCTTGTCCAAGAAAACAAACAAACATCCTACAAAATAAATTTAAAAAATCTCGTCGGTGTCTGAGGAAAAAAAAGACTTTTAAAATTCTTATTAATGAATTAATTATTTTATTTTATTGTATAATTAGTTATTCATCTTGTCTCGGCCATAAAACGCAAAGTTATAAAGTGTTTGACAATAAAAATGTAGAATCAAAGCAGCAGAACCAGAACCAGAACCAGAACTGAACAAAGAGATAAACAACATAAACAATAATAATAATAACTTTAATCTAAAGAATATTTACTGTGAGTTATGATTTAATGTGTATTTATGTGAGTGTTGGTCCTTCTGTCTCCTTAACGGACCCCAGGAGCTCCTCCAGAACCAGACCAGTCCCAGTACCTCCTCCAGAACCTGTACTGTCGGCTCAGTGAAAGAGTTCATGGACCTCAGCTCACCTCAGACTCTCTCTCCCTCCTCACCTGTTCCCTATCCTCCAATCAGAGCGCTCCCCTCTCAGGTGTGTCCTCCAGACTGCTGCTGTTCAGTTTGTGGTTTTTCTGGGACTCTGAACCTCCTCCAGCTGCTGCAGGCGGTGAGTCCAGCTCCTGTTGAACCAGGTTCACAGTTCGTACGTTCGGGTTTCTCTGGTGGCTGATTTAGGATCAGATCTTCCTCCATCAGATGATTACTGGAGCTGGAGCTGGTTCCAACCAGCTTCATGTTCAGTGAGAGCAGATCAGCCTGATTCTGGGAGAAGAACGACGGTTTCAGTCCATGTCTTCCTCTAATCTTTGGTTTTTGCTGAATTGTTGGTGAATCATTGAATCATTGGAGGAGTTTAGAGAAGATCTGATGGAGCCAAAGACCAGATCCATCTGGGGTCTCAGAAGCTTGTTTTTGTCACATTTCCTTCTTAGAGTGACGATAACACACAGATACATGAGACAGAACCAGGAAGTAGGACTTTAAAGTTGTGTTCAGCGCTTTACTGGAGTAACGGTTCATGTTTATCGTCCTCTGCTGGACCGTCGCTGACCACCTGAAGCTGAGAGGTTGTAAAGAGAAGAACCCAGATCTGGTTTCTTTGCCCGATCGGAGTCATTTAATGTTTGGTTTCTGTTTGATGTGTCGCTGATTAACGTCCACGCTGCTTTGATTTTAAGACTTTAATGTGCGTTATGTTGGGAAATGTCACCAGAACTCCTGAGATCAGGATCAGAACATCTTTAACGTTCACGTCTGTTAATGCAGAAGTGACGGTCTGAAGGTGTCTGAAGGTGTCTGAAGGTGTCTGAAGGTGTCTGAAGGTGTCTGAAGGTCAGACCAACGCTGAGCTGCAGATGTCGATGATGACGATCAGGAGACAGAAACCCAGCTCTGCTCCCGCTCGCTCTGATTCTAACGTCTGATGAAGGTTCTGCTGGAAGCTATTACAGCCAGTAAGCTCCACCCGCCTGCTCCGCCCCGCAGCACAAAACAAACAGCTGCAGGTTTGGGCTTCAGGCTTTAACATCTGACCCGGTGAGAGCGTGTGGTTCAGCTGATGAGGTTCTGAGTCTGCAGCAGCTCCTCAGACTGTGGGAAACTCTGTGTTCCTGACTAACCGATAAAGTAACGATGAGGGAACGCTGCGGTGACGA